TGAGGAGATCCCCTGAGCCCAAGAGGTTGAGGCTGCACTCTGGCCTGAGCAACAAAGTGAGACCCCTGTGTCACAGTAAAGTCAAATAGAGTTCTTTGGTTTGGGTTTGTCTGACAGTTTTTCAGGAGGATGCCACACGGGTGGTGGTGGGTCCTCCCAGGCCCCACATCTGCAGACACTGATGTCCACCTGCCCCTCACCTGACAACATGATCTCTGACCCTGACAGAGGCCTCGCCCACTCCCCCCGCGTTGCAGCTGCTGCCTCCCGGCCACCTGAGGGCGCTCTGAGCCCGGCTCCGTGTCTAGTGCTTTGTGCCTCCCTGTGTGGTTGGTCTTTCCGGGACTCTGCACCTTCCACACTCCATCTGCACTCGTCCTTGACATGAGCAGGAGTCCTGCTGTCTCCTTGTTCGTTCGTTCGTTGGTTCTTCATTCATTTGTTTGCTGATGTGGGCTGATTTCCGTTGGGTTTTTTCGGGGCTTTTGTTGCTCTTGCTCTTCACTGCCTTGGTGCCCAGAGACGTCCCTGAGCGTCTCGCCGGCTCCTGCGTCCCTGACGGCCTCATTCCTCCGAGTGCTTCCTCCTGGCACAGCTGCCCTGCTCAGCCCTGGAATTAGCTATTTGTCTAGGGAGTGCTGGTTCCTTTCAGGAAATACTGGTCTTAGAGAACAAGGTCTGGGTTCTTAGAACATCCAGAGCTACTGCAGTGTGTTTGGTTTTTGGCCTCTTTTTTTTTTTTTTTTTTTTTTTTGATGGAGTCTTGCTCTGTCGCCCAGGCTGGAGTGCAGTGCCGTGATCTCAGCTCACTGGAAGCTCCGCTTCCCGAGTTGAAGCATTTCTCCTGCCTTAGCCTCCTGAGTAGCTGGGATTACAGGCTCCTGCCACTACGCCCAGCTAATTTTTTGTATTTTTAGTAGAGATGGGGTTTCACCATGTTGGTAAGGCTGGTCTTGAACTCCTGACCTCGTGATCTGCCCGCCTCAGCCTCCCAAAGTGCTCGGATTACAGGCATGAGCTTTTTGGCCTCTTAAGCACATAGAACTAGAAAATTACACAGGAGTATGCACATGTACACACACAGGTACCCAAACACACTCTCCTCCACGCGCACACATACGTACACAGGTTCATGAGCGTGCACGCACGCCTCCACACATGCAGGTACACGAGCGCACACGCACACCTCCACGCGCACACACACAGGTACATGAGGACGCACACATTCCTCTATGCACATGCAGGTAGGTACATGAGTGCACACACACGCCTCCACACACACGCAGGTAGGTACATGAGCTCACACGCATGCCTCCACGCACATGCACATAGGTACACAAGTGCGTGCACGCCTCCACGCACACACACATACAGGTAGGTACATGAGCTCGCACACACGCCTCCACGCACACGCACATAAGTACACGAGCACACACACATGCCTCGCGCACATGTACATAGGTACATGAGCACACATGCATGCCTCTGTGTACCTGCAGGTAGGTACACGAGTGCGCACACACGCCTACGCAGGTAGTTACAGGACCTCACACGCATGCCTCCATGCACACGCACATAAGTACACGAGCACGCGCACATGCCTCCACGCACACGCACATAGGTAGACAATCACGCACACATGCCTCCACACACACGCACATGCAGGTAGGTACACGAGCGCACACGCACACCTCCATGCACACACATGCAGGTAAGTACATGCGCTCGCATGGACGCCTCCACACACACACAGGTAGGTACACAAGCATACATGCTTCCATGCACACAGGTACAGGAGCACGCATACATACCACGGACACGCAGATAGGTACAGGAGCTTGCATGCATGCCTCCACACACACACATAGGTACACAAGCGCACACACGCGTCCACGCACACGCAGGTAGGTACATGAGCTTACATGCATGCCTCCACGCACACACATGCAGGTAGGTACACGAGCATGCACGCACACCTCCATGCACACACACACGTACAGGAGCACACATGCACCTCCATGCACACGCAGGTAGGTACATGAGCTTGCACGCACGCCTCCACGCACAAGCACATAGGTACACGAGCGCACACGCACGCCTCCACACACACGCAGGTAGGTACATGAGCTTGCACGCACGCCTCCACGCACAAGCACATAGGTACACGAGCGCACACGCACGCCTCCACACACACGCAGGTAGGTACATGAGCTCGCATGCACGTCTCCATGCACAGGCACACTCAGGTACACGAGCGTGCATGCATGCCACCACACATACATGTACAGGAGCGTGCACACACACCACGCAGACACACACACAGGTACACGAGCTCGCACACACGCCTCCACGCACACAGATACACGGGCATGCATGCACGCCTGCACTCACACATGCAGGTAGGTACATGAGCTTGCATGCACACCTCCACGCACACACACGCAGGTAGGTACACGAACGTGCATTCACGCCTCTATGCACATGCACACAGGTACAGGAGCGTATACGCACCTCCACGCACAAGCAGGTAGGTACATGAGCTTGCATGCAAGCCTCCACGCACACATGCATAGGTACACAAGTGCACATGCAGGCCTCCACACACACGCAGGTAGGTACATGAGCTCACATGCACACCTCCCTGCACGGGCACACTCAGGTACACGAGCGTGCATGCATGCCTCCATGCACACAGGTACAGGAGCGCGCACACACACCTCCACGCACACGCACATGCAGGTAGGTACACGAGCGCACACGCACACCTCCACGCACACGCAGGTAGGTACATGAGCTCGCATCCATGCCTACACGCACACAGGTACAGGAGCACGCACACACACCTCCATGCGCACGCACACGCAGGTAGGTACACGAGCTCACACACACGCCTCCACAGACACAGGTACACGAGCGTGCATGCACGCCTCCATTCACACGCGCAGGTAGGTACTTGAGCTTGCACACACACCTCCACGCACACGCACACAGGTACATGAGCGTGCACGCATGCCTCCACACACACACAGGTAGTTACATGAGTTTGCACACACACCTCCGTGCACATGCACACAGGTATACGAGTGTGCACGCACGCCTCCACACACATGCACGCCTCCATGCACACGCGTCCTAGAATTGCTGAGCACGCACGGCACCCCAGTCCCGTCCCTCCCACAGAGAGTTGCTCTGTGGTCTCCTCTTCCGTCACATCTCTTCTTCCCTGGCTCCCAAGAACACCAGTGCGTTTACTCACTTGCTCATCTGATAATTCGTCTA